GAAACGCAAAAAAGTATGGGCAGGACATTTACTAGACACAGATCTTAGCTATCTTTTCTTGTTTTCAGGAAACAAGCAAGAGACTCTGACATGAGGAGCTAATGGTGAAAGGAAAGTAAGGGAAATTCCAGCATACTATCTATGACAAGTACTTTGTAAGAAGGAATGGCAATGTTCATGATCACTGTTACTCAGCCCATGCAAACAGAATTCTAGCTGACCAACTTGGAATTTTATATACATTCTATTCAAGTATTTAAAACAAACTAGAACTAAGAGTACTTTTTCTGAATAACAGTATGGTTATTCATTAATTCATTATTGTTACAAGACACTGCAAATAAATCTCTATGTTGTCAGGTTAAGGACAGGTTAATGACAGCAGTGCTGAAAACATAAAAGATCAAAAAAAAAAGCAATTATATTTTCCTTTTCTACATATCAGGTTATAAGAGCTATGATCTAATTTGTTGTCACTGCCAACCTTGAGCTGAGCTCAAGATCATTCAAAACGATTCCATGACCTAGCTATACCATAGACTAGTATGGCAATAACAACAGAAATCCCTGAGAAAATCACTGCAACCTCGGGTGACAAAAATAGAGAGAAATCATGAACAACCTACTACCCAGAAGCGGCAGTTTAATAGCACTTCATTTCAGCATGTAGCCTAAAAAATACAGACTCTAAAAGGAAATACCAGCCTTATAGAAGATTCTATATAATTGCACAGGTTGGGTCTTGTCATTAGCCAATTTACTCTTCAGATTTACAGCTCTGGGTGTAACAAAATCTTTGGCACGTGGTGCAGACTTATGAGATTTTTTCACCCTACAAATTAATTTCTTTTGCACTCACTGGAAACCAATTCAGTAGCATTTGCTATGTTTTAGGCTAGCATATGCTGCTGAGAGAGCAGCCTTTTCAGGGGTTTACAACTCAGCAAAACACTAAGTACGTGTCTTATATTAAACTTGTGCTGGAGCTTCCTCAAGATAAATGGGATGCAAATGAATATTTGGTTGTTTTGTTTAATATGGATGATCTCTACACCTCTGAACTGTTCTGTTGCCAGCTGCCAGCTGCCACTTACCACAAACAGAGAGAAGTCAATTTCATAGGATATAGATTGGACCATTTTAAACTAATCTCTGCAAAAAGAAAACAGTTCATTGGGAAGATAAAAAAGTGTCTGATAATACCACCCCTGCATGTTGCTTGGATGGGTGGGAGAAAAGGCCAAGATACTCTAGCTGACACTGTAGCCATGAAGCTTATATTTTACTTCCACAATCATTTATAAAAACACAGCAAGATGAACGGCACTGAGCAGCTTGTGTTCCTGTCATAATGTACAACCTCTTGGTATCCCATGTACAATAATACCTCCATGAAAATACAGCTGTATTACTTCTGCTTCTTTGTACAACACTTTGCATGACTAAGAGCAGCAAGTGACATGTTCTCCAGTAACTGAGATTGATTATTGGTGCTTCAGCACATCCATAATCATGATGCATGCAGCACGGAGACATGGAATTATTTTCATACATTGCCCTGATTGGTAGAAAAAACTTCTTTTCTAACTGAACTGAATATGTATAGGATGCATGCTCTAGAGGAATGAGTATTGTGCTAGCTGTCAAAGGGTCTCTAGTTATACTCCTGCCTTTCATGACTCTGAACAAGACGAGTCATGCATGCTGACTGCATTTGCTACTCTTCAGCTGCAGTGTTCACCGCTATAAAGAACGTAAATTTACCAGCAGTAACCACTCTGTAGTATCTGAGATACTATTGTTTTACCATTAACAATACTGACAATCTGAAAGAAGTATGAGAAATGAGTGTGGTACATGGAAGAAAATATGGCAGTGGTAGGTCTGGATTTTATTTCAGTAACATTGGGTTTACAGCTGGTTAACTGTACTGAATCCAAAGTAATTGCTGCAGATTGTTACTACTGAAGTGACTGTCGAGTGTGAACCTCTGTGTCTGCCTACAGCAACAGGAAACGGAAAACTCTTTAGCAGAAAAATGAGTCAGCAATTTTCAAAATTTGCTTTTTCAGCATATTAGACAATACTTTTTTTTTTAATGCCATTTCCAAAAATCTCAGAGGATTTAATATTTTGTCATCCATGATGCTATAAAAATATCTAAGATTTTAGCATTTCATATTTGGTAACTTCACAGTTTGGTGAATAGCAAAACTTTTTCAAAGTTCAGTTGACTTTTCTAAATCAAAATCATCACATCCTGCTGGAGAATATGATTCCTGGGAAACAAGGAAGAATTTACCTTTTCAAACAGGCATATCAATAGCCTTTGCTATTCTTCCCATACTGAGCAATACTGTTTAACTGTGGTATTGTTGCAGGAACAAAAGTTAGTGCTACAGTAAGGATTAAACCGTACTTTGATGTTGTGGAAATGGACAGTGCAGTGTAAACTCCTTAATGATTGAGGAATGATTAATTAAATACTTTTAAAGGTGAAATACATTTACAAATAGCTCAGCAACAGAAAAAGGAGCAATATATCTATGCCATAATTAATTTTCTACATTAGGATTAACACACCAAATTGCAGATAGTTGAATAAGCATTTATATTATCCATTTTCTGGTTATTTCATATTCCTCTAGATACTAAGCTCCATGTAACCCAACAAGGAAGATTAGAGATGAAGTATAGAACACAATACGACAATCACCACACTGTACTACAGTTTCTAAAATAATATACTGAGAAGTGAAATACAATGCAATGTGGTATCACTACTA